CCTCCTCCCCCAGCCACTCCCTGCCCTGGGATGGGTGAAAGCAACATCCTGAGACCTTTCAGATTCAGAGCGTGAGGAGCTGGTGGTCAGGACAACTCCTGCAGCCACCAGCACGCTTGCTCATTGGGATCCTCTTGATATTTTTGGCATTTACAGATGAGAGATGGCAGCTCCCCGAACAACTGCAAGAGAGGGTCCTGCAGGACCAGGTGCTGAAGGAGGCTCTGAATCAAACCTGTATTCAGCAGTTGGACCTTGAGTTATAACCCAAATGGCTTGGTCACTGAAACATCGTGCCCTGTGCCTGTTCGCCCCTTCCATGCTTGGCATCTCAATGCTAAACTCGCTTACGCCATGCTGCCCACCTCCATCCTCCCTCCGAAAAGCACATTTTGGTGGCTCACCGACAAGGAGGGGTTGCCCTCATCCTCGACAGTGACCACCAGGCTGTAGAAGCTCTGCCGCTCGCGGTCCGGTGGGGAGGGCCGGGTGGCGATCTCGCCAGTGACGCGGTCCATGCGGAAGGTGAGGTCCTCATTCCCACGGGTGATGTAGTAGGAGAGGACACTGTTGAGGCCGACGTCCCGGTCGGTGGCATGTACCTGGGCCACTGCTGTGCCACCACCAACGTTCTGCAGGGCGAGACAGTGGGATGAGCGGCAGAGATACAGGACATAAAACACATGCACCTCGTAACACGTAAAATACATATTAACATTAATAGTATAATTCTAATATAGAGCAGGATTTTTGCACTGTGGTGTTTGAGTCTCCAGACTCATCGCCCTGACACACCTAGCAGCCAAGCAGGAGGCTGCTCTCCTTTACCAGCTGCTGGATGCCTTTTTTGCAGTGCCTGTCGCAAATGATGTTGTATTAATAGATGCATCTTCATGCAAGAAATTAACCAAGGCTACTTGCCCTGCCACTGATAGCTCAGCTGAGAATCAGCCACAGGCTTAGCAATGGAAGGCTCTGCCCTTTGCTTGAGTGCTCCGATCTTTTTTGGTTTGAAACTCTGAAATTAAATGTGTTGTCTGTGTTAGCTTTTAAAAAGAATTGGGATAAAACTAGCAGGTGACATTTGCCTCTAAGTCGCCAAAGCCAGCTGCCACTGCACGCCGAAATTGCACCTCTTTTTCCTTATGTTGCAGCATCTCCCCTTTGCAGCAATGAACCAGTTTGATTCCCTGCCGCAGAAAGCTGCGCATTAGGTCCTAGCTAGGCTGGCACAGCCTCAAAGAGTGTAAAAATCAGTGTGTGTGCAAAGGTGAAGGCTGTGTAATGGACTCAGAGCTCGGCTAATTATTTTTGGATAGTCCCATTACAGGGGAAATCAAAACAGAAATTCTGTTCTTCAACCAGCTCTGAACAAGTATTAAATAGATAAGAAAATCCTAACAGGGCAATAACTTTAATGCAAAGCTATTAATCATGAGCAGCACTTCCTTACAGCTAAGTGTCACTGGCTATTACTCGTATTTCATTTTTCATCATCAAATTGAGAACCCCCTGCTCCAGAAATTAAACTGTCAGGAAATAAGTTGTCTTTTCTCATGCCTGATTGTGTTTTATTGCTTAATTATCTAGCTCTTGCCGAGCTGCTTCCTGAAAGCAATTCCTATTCTGCACTGCGCTGCCTCTTGTGTCACTTCGGTGGCATTTCCATGGGTGTGTAGCCACTTCTCCTTCCTGCTGGTCCCTGCAGCCTCATGGGCTTAAGTTGCCTGCAGAGCTCTATCCTAGCCCAAAACTAGGAGGCTATCACAGGTGAGGGCGTGCAAGGGGCTGCCAACCCTTAAATGACTCAAGGTGAGGTCTGACCACAAGTGTTCAGACCTCACCTTGGGAGGATGGAAGGTGAGGAACAGGTCTGGGTACTCACCTCGCTCACGCTCACGTTGTAGCCGAAGGGGCTGTCAATGATGGGGGGGTTGTCATTGACATCAAGGATGTTCACTCGCAGAGTGTGCTCCTTCCTCCGGGGAGGCACACCACCATCTGAGGCTTGGATCTGCAGTCGGGGATGGATTTAAAAAAAAATGCTATTTTTAAGCTCACAGCCCCAAGTAAACAGCCTCAGTGCTCAAACCAGAAGAAGCCCAAGGAGGTAAGTGGGGTGGTTTGGTGCTTACCCGTAAGGTGTAGTGATCCAGCAGCTCCCGGTCCAGCGGCTGTGCCACAAACACCTCGCCGTAGGTGTTATTGGTGGTACGGATCTCGAAAGCCCGGCCGATGTTCCCCGACATTAGTGAGAAAGTCACCTGGAAACATCACGAGGAAAGAAAAAGAGGGCAGGCAATGGGATGCTGTGAGGAGAAAAAGGCCACCCTACAAACAAAAAACCCAGTATCGCCTCAGGAATTCTTTGAGCATTTTACAAGGTCCAATGTCTTGGGTCCACGGGTGTGCTGGCTTATTGCAGCCACCCCAAACCAAACACCCATGGGCCAATCCCGGTCTCATCCACAGCCCTCCTGTGATGCTAGTGATGTTTTGGTGTTAAGGGTGATGGGACCTCATTAATGCCTGTCTGCGTGGTAAAGAAAATAACAAAAGGCAAAGAGCTTCCTGCTCAGCCTGCCAAGCGCTTTGCTGCTGTTCCTCATGCTGGGAGAGGCAGCAGCTGGTTTTCAGATTGCCGGGCTCCTTTTGGCACGTGTCCTGCAGAGCTCTTTGCCCCAGACAGCCCAAGGACGATGCTTTTCCTCTCCTGCAGGCATGCCTCAGCTGGAAAGCACCGGTACCCACTGCACAAATAACCCCAGCATCGCTGGCATCTACAACCAGTTTTCTCCCGCAGGAGTGCAGAGGAGGGGAAGGGGTTGGGAAGACACCGATGGAGGAATTTCTGCTGTGGTGAAACACTACCACAGCCTTATGGGCTGGCCCAAGCCTGCTGTGCCATTCTCCCTACCTGCCCGTTGCTGCCTGCATCTGGGTCGCGGGCCAGGACCACAGCCACCCGCTTGCCGACCATGCTGTCCTCTGCCACGCTCACAGAGGAGTCAGAGGTGATGTCAAACTGGGGGCTGTTGTCATTCTCATCCAGGACCGTGATGGTCACCTGCAGGCATGGCACAGGGCTCAGACAGGGTGCAGGCAGGAGGCAGCTCCCTGCCCACCCAGCATCAACAGCTGCACTGACACCCTCGGCAAACTCTCAATCCAGTCAACCCCCCAAGGTACCAACAGCGTGAGTGTTGTCCATCCCACGTGGGAATGGGTGCAGGTATTTGAGCCCAGGAGCTGAAGCTACATCTCTGTCTGCAGAGGAAGAGGAGGGATGCTTAGAGGCTGGAGAAAGAGCGCAAGGCTGCTGCAGCTCTCAAGTGGTGGATTTTTCTACGAAGCATCCTCCATACGCTTGGGGGGGCACCCTGCCACAGCGTGGAGGCGATGGGGGACCGGGCTACCTCGGCCACAATTAGCCAGAGGAAATGCTCTCATCGTGTTAGCAATCAAAGAGCTGCAATGCTACACAGAAATGAGAGAGGAAGAGCCTTTCTGTTCCCGGGGCTCTATTTATGGGTGCCCCGAGCCCCCAGGTGTGGCCAGGCTGAATGCGACAACGTCCCGGAGGAAGCCGGGGAGCGAGTGGTGTGCCTGGGGGTGATTCTGTTATTGTTGCTGCTGAAATAAAAAGAAGAGGGCCAGGAGCAGGGAGAGCCCATTCAGCTCCTGCAATGGATGGATCCGGCAGCTGCTGTCCCGAGTGCCCGATCCGCGGTTTGGGGGCTGGCCAGCGCCACGTCCTGGCGGGTGTCACAGAGGCTGGTGCTGGTGGGACGGGGCTGGAGACCACCGCCCCGGTCCCTCCCCGCAGCTTGATGTGGAGTTCGGGATGGATCCTGGCCCCCAAGGTGATGTCAGGTGATGCCAGCATGATGGACATGCTTACCTTCTGTTGAGGAGCGCAGAGGTGGAAACAGAGCAAACAAAAGGCCAAGAGTTAGTGGGTCATGAGGAAGCACGAGCACACGAGAGGGGCAGCGGGCTGGCCTCGCATGCCACCATGGCAGTGACAGGGGACATGGGTACCCTCTGTAGTGATTCAGAGGCCCCTTTGTTAGTGCACCCCTTTGCTTTTTCTAGCTAAGCTTGGTGGATTTGCCCCTTGCCCTGCGAGAGGCTGAGACAAGAGCACGGCAGCATGCGGAGAGCACAGCCGCCGGCACCCATGGGTGGGGACAGGCAGCGCTTGCAGCCTCACTGCCTTTGTCATCCAGCATCATTTTTAGAGACAACAGATGCACCAAGACATGAGAACGCTCGAAGCACAGAGTACTGCCCATCGCTGCGGGCCAGCCTCCGGTTTCAAATCCTCCCTGGGGCCCTGCTCCTCCAGCTGACCCATACCAGGAGAGTTTGGGTACTGCCAGCCCAGCAGCCCCTGCCCGCAGCACGGGGACCAGGCTCGCCCTGCACCCTGCATGCATCCTGCCCCAGCAGAGAAATGCAAATCACCCCCTGCTCAGCTGCTTTTGAAACTGCCAAATATAACCTTGTTAAACATAAACCACTGTGAAGTATTTCAAGGTCCCCAGATTTACCTCCCTCAAAACTGCTGTAGCTTGGCAAGCAACCTGCAAACTCTATAGTTTGGGGTGTTTTTTTTCTATTGTTCTGAGAAATCCCACCCTATGACATGCAGAAGCTAAAAGGCACCAGTCCCTGCTTATGCAAATACAGAGTTTCCCCCAAATAAGGGTTTCCAGACCCTTGTGGCCAGCAGAGAGGACAGCTAGGACATGCTGTCCCATGCCAGAGGAAGAAGAGGTGACCCGCGGTCAGCTCTGCCCATGCAAAGGATGGTGGGGAAGTCAGTAGAAGCTACTCACCACCGTGGAGTCAATCTTTGGTCCTCCATCATCAGCCACCACTGTCATGGTGTAGAAATCCCCCTTCTCTCGATCCACCTGGCCTTTGACTGTGATCACACCCTGCCAAGGACAAACAGCTACATCAGTAACCAACACCAAAGTCCACAGTGGACAACCAAGCCAGGAGGCATCACACTGTGGCCACTTACAGTGATTCCGTTGATTTTGAAGAGGGAGAGCGCTTGTGCGTTGGTGTTGGGGTCAAACTTGTAGGTGATCTGGTTGAGGTTGTCAATGGAGCGGGCCTGGACCCTGAGGACTTCGGAGCCCAGCGGGATGTTCTCTATGATCACAGCCTCGTAGCTGCTGTTGGAGAACTGCACGGCCTCGTCCAGCTCATTCAGCAGACTGACGTACACGCTGCAGAAGCCCTGGTTGTTGGGGGGTGCCTGGTCCGTGGCAGAGACGTTCATCAGGTAGCTGGTTTTGGTCTCGTAGTCCAGGTACTCGATTGTCGTGATAAGGCCCGTGCTCTCATCGATCTCAAACTTCCCTTCAGCGCCTGACAGGATTTTGTAGTTCACCAGACCGCTGTTCCCTGGGGCAGGAACAGGAACCACAGTGCCGGCTGGACTAAGCATCCCGAAGAGGCAGGCACCACCGATACTGACCCCGACTCTGGAGCATAGCCCATCCCATGTGGAGATGTCAGCCCATCCAAGCCAGGATCTGTGCAATGACTGATTTCACCGCTTTCCCCGAATTGGGTGTTTCTCTGACCTTACTCCTGGCTACATACCTGTGTCTCGGTCGGTGGCCCGGACCACCGCCACTGAAGTCCCTATCCCAGCTGTCTCCCGCAGCCCCAGGCGGTTGTACTGCCGCTGGGTGAACACTGGCACCTCGTCGTTGACATCTTCCACATAGATGATCACCTGCGAAAGCCCCCGGAGAAACTACATGTGAGATGGGCAGGCTCGTGAACCCTCACCAGCTGCTTACACTTGTGAGGGGAAATATACCCTTCACAGCACTCATCTGCTGCACGGGAGAAACGTGATCTCTACTACAAATACCACGTGATGGAGAGTGAACACACACAGTTTAGCATCATAGATTTAAACAAGCCCCATGGTCAGAGTGATTCGGTCCTTCCCTGGCCAGAGGTGGTTATAGTCTGTATATTAATTCCTCTGTGCTTTGGGATCCTCTGCTGGAAACCTTGCAATTAGAGACCCCGCAACGTAGAAATGCTGACAACTTGGTGGGAAATTTTCCTCAGAGTTCAGCGGGTCGAGCTGCTGTTTCCCCAGGGAACATAATTTCTCCTGGCTTTCTGCTTGCCGCTGGTGCTGCGGGCACGTCACGCTCGGCCAAAGCACATCCCACCCGTGGGTCTAAAAATAGATGGAAGCAAAGGGCTGGGTTCGTGGGAACCGTGGGAAGCTGGTGTGTCACTGCTAAAGATTATTGCCACTGGGTCCTGGCTTATTTAATAGACGCTTGGCCAGGAGATACAGTTTCCAAGAGGCTGAGGCTCAGCTCTTCCTCCTGGCAGCAGAGCTGCATCTCGCTGGGGAGCAGGACTCCCTTTGACAGCAACTGCCGCACCACTTAGCAGCCTCATCACACTGAAATGTCACAGGAAAAAAGAAAAAACAACAAAAAAAACCCCAACAAGCTCTTCTCCGCCCACGGGCAGCCCCCAGAGACTTTCTGTCAGCATTTCCATGCCAGATCTCTCAAATTTCCTGCACGCCTGCAAGCGCTGGAAATGACTGCCCTCTGATGAAGCATCCCAGATATTTTGCAAGAACTCCTCCACCGCCCAGCGCCGCTGCCCACCCCTCAGCAGCCGCGAGGTCCTTACCCGCACGGAGCTCCTCATGGGTCCCTGCTCCGTGTTGTAGGCCTCCACCTCCAGGACATGAGAGGAGTTTTGCTCCCTGTCCAGGTGCCGCACACCCCGCATCACCAGCCCGGTGCTGGGATTGATGCGGAAGTTGTTGTGCTCATTCCCTGGCGGGGGGGAAAAGTGAGATGGATGCTGCCCATCGCCACTGCATCAGTCCTGGCGACGTGCTGAGCCCTCTGTGGGGGGCTGCCTCGGAGGCAGATTAGTGAGCAAAACCCAAGCCCCATCACCTTCAGCTACATCAAGGTTTGGTCCTGGTCAAGCCAGGAACTACAGCATCTAGGTGTCCATCAATGACAAACTGTCCCCCAGCAATTAACGCTAATGCTGACGTTTTGCTTGGGGGCGGGGTTGCAATCTTTGTGGGCTGCAAAGTGCAGAAGGATGGAGAGCACACCGAGGCTGTGCGTGCGGCTCGCCAGAGCCTGGCACAAATACAGCCATGCACGAAGAGCCACCTGGACTTACCCTTGACAATCCTGTACCATACTCTCCCGTTAACACCTTCATCTGAGTCTGTGGCTTTCACCTTTGTGAGAAAAGAAAAGCAGTGAAGGTGTATGGCAGCGACTTCCAGACCGTGACAAATCCTCCCTCCCTGCTGAAGGCTGGACATGCTGCTTCTCAGCCTGAGCCAGGGGGCTTACCAACAGCAAAGCAAAATAAATTACCCTCCCCTCATCACCAGACAGCAGGGATAGCGGGCTCGGGAGCCCTTGGCTGCCAGGGTAGCTGGAGGATGGGCTCAGGAGCTGAGCCCGAGGACCACGCCATCAAACCCACAGGTCAGTGCCTCCATCGGTCCTGCCCTGCATGCCAGTGTTTGCCCCGCTGGAGATGCCGCTGGGGATGGAGCCTCCCGGCCCGCAGAGCTGGCTTGAGCTGGGCAGGGAGAGCTGCTCCCACACGCCTGGTGGGCACCCAGCCCACAGCACCAGGGCAAGTCACCCAAGCAGCGGCATATGTAAAAATTACTGGCAGAAACACGAATGCAACCAGCCCAGAGCATGCTGGTCGTCTGGACACTGGTCTCACAAGACTCCAAGCAGTGGGTGGGAGCACCCCTTAGCCGCAACGCCCTGCACAGTCCGTGCACATACTGAATAATCTGTCTACCCCAGGAAACCCAAGACACGGGTCCCCTCTTGTGTTGCTGTACAACACTGCAGTGCTTTCCCCGCAACCTCCAGCCAGCTCTGGCAGCTGGGAAGCGGGACCCAGAAAGGGGCAGTGGGGCCAGGGCTTCCTCCCCAGCTGGCACTGAGCAGCTGCATCTCTCCTCCACAAAAACCACTTCCCACGAAGCATCCAAACCACAACCGCAGCGCTGGCCCCTTGCGAATCACTAGGGTGAGGACACAGGGAATGCCTTAGCCTTTATTCCACCTGCTTACACCAGCAAGGCATCTTCTGCCTGCAAATATTACCCAGCAGTTTCCTTTTCCTGGGCAGGTAGGGGTTTGCACCCAGATGTGTGCTGCAAAGAGGAGGGGTTGCTGCAAAGGACACACATGCAGCAGGAACAGCAAGGCCATTTGCAGGGGCTCAGCTTTAAAGCCCTGGGCTGGCTTTCACCCACAGCCCCACACAATGCTTGCAGGAGTCAGAGATGCTCTTCCAAAACGGCAGTTTGGGATGCCTTGAATTGCTCTTGTTCCCTTCCATCAAATACCCAGGTGAGCAGAAGTCTTAGAAAATGCTGACCCTGCTCTTGCAAACTATCTGGATTTCCCACCCGTGTGCCACATGCTCCGTTTTTCTCTGTCCCAGATGGGCTCACATCTTGTTTATGGCTGGACATAACGCTGTGCCTTGCTCCGTGTTTCACCATGGACCCAGCACCTTCCTTTCACAGCAGAGAGCTCTCCGCCCGAACACTGCCATTGCACCCGTGCCAGCTCTTCCACTCCCAGGGCTCCCTGAGGCCATTTCTGGGCAGAAGCTGGGCTGTCTCCTCTCCCGTGTGATGGATGGGCCCCGCACCAGCAGGCGAGCGGTGCCCAGGCAGACCGGCTGCCTTGGCACCGTGAGTCCT